AGAAGAAAATCCCCTGTTAAATTATATATATAGATCCCAGGGTACATTTTTGTATTTGGGAGCTGTTTAAATATGCATTTTCTGGTAGATTTTTTTTTTGATGAACTATGAATATTGTAAACAGAATCTGAATCTTACTCCGAGTTACTGTTGTTGTTTACAAACTAAAGAAATTAAAAAGGATTTTTGTTGAGTTTTCACTGAATATTTGAAGGCAAATTATTATCATTACTTATTTTGTTGCAATTCTATTTTCTTATATTAATAATATATATATATGTTTTTGTTTTTGTTTTTTTTTACTAATTTGTCATATCAAGAATATCATTATCTCAAAAACACCCTGAAATATCGTGATATCATTTTAGGGCCATATTGCCCACCCCTAGATCCATGTCGCACTGTGTAGCTTGCACTACACTTATAAGATTGCTAAAATCTCACAGTCTGTAGGAGGCTTAAGCCAAATAAAGAGAAAAAGAAAACAATGGTAAGACTCCTTTCGCTGTCACTGGTTATTTATGCTGTTTAAAAGGCTGTACTTGCATTATTATACTATTATCATCATATCAGTGGCATAAAATGACAATAATATTGTTAATCACAATTATTTCTGGAACAATATATTGTCCACCAACAGTAGTTATTGTGATAGGCCTATTTAAAGCTGCTATATTTTACACATCTTTTGTTGATGTTGGATGAGCAAGCTAAGCTGCATAGTTTTGGCTGAGCCTGAACACTGGAGGAGGGGACTTCCTATGATTTCTCATAAAATAAAAAGGCATTATATTTCTGGTGAAAATGACAAAAATGCTGAATTACAACCGCTGTGTACTCTTTGTGTCATTTCCTGCCTCCTCCCTTGCCTAATCCAAACAGAGTATTTCAAGTAGGTGAGAATGCATCTGACACAACAATTGCTTGTTGTGTGCTACATGTGTGAAAGGGCAACTCCGATTAATGTCTGGACCTGATTCTGCTGACAGCGTGGTGCAGGAACGAGTCCTAAAACCTGGACATGAGTTATTTTAGCCCTGTGATTCCCTCATCTCAAGGTCATTTGTTTTTTTAAAATGAATTTTTTGTTAAATGTCTAATATAAGGTCTATAGTTAACACAAGCTGAAGAGACTTTTACGTTTTGTTCTATGACATAAAATACATCAGTAAATACCTCACTCAGGGCCTCTGAATTTTTTTGTGTCTTAAAAAAGGCAGTTGCTAACAAGCGGCTGTATGAGACTACAGAACATCACCACGCTGAACACAGCTCTACAGCCTTATCATGATGGAGTCATGCAACCATGGTGTAGTTTGTTTATAGTCTAACTTTTTACTTGTGGCGACTGCATTTGGGCTTCAAAAATCATACAAGAGGTGTCCATTTGTGGAGATTATTTTGCTGAACAAAACATAAAAGTATTGTAAATACTTGTTTGCCACAGAGCATGTTTACCGCAATAATCCTACATCCAATGGAAAAATCCCATTGGCTTTTTGACGAGAGAACCAGGGCCATGCTAACTTCCACATCAGCCTATAAAAAAATATAATCCCTGCAGCACTCTTTTTCAAGGAGTTCACGGTTACAAAAAAACGCAGAACAGACTTATCAGAAGCACATCTGTTTCGGGTATAATGTCATTTAGCTGCCACTTTGGGCATTTTATCAATGAGAGCAAAGAAAATACATTGCACAGCAATAACACAATAGTGCCTGAAATGTAAAACAACTAATGAACACCTTCCAAATTGTAGATGTGTTTAAATTGACTTAAAAAATAAATAAAAAGCAGGAACGTCTGTAAACACCCTTCATTTATCTCCTAAATGAATGAGTGATTCTTACAGTACCCGTTTTCCACAGCCGCTTTTGACTGTGAGAAAACTGTCTCCTTCACTTCATTAAACCCCTGCTGCCATCTGAAGGCAGCAGGACACATGTTGATAAATCTGTTATTACACACAACCATCCACCATGTTCACTTTCATTAAATCAGGTGCACAGGACACCAGGCTGCAACACAGTAATCACTAACACCTCTATACACATCAGACGGGTCTGTTATGAGAGACATCAGATTATTGGAGCTCATTAAGTCTGTGTGTCACCGCCCCTTTCCCAACTCAGAAATATTATATTATACTCCACCTTACCCAGACCCTTTGCACTTTGCGCATGAACCAAAATAGCACATATGCTCATAGATGCTTGTACACGCTTGCGTAATTAAAGCAGGGTCCTCTTTATGACATGAGGTTATGTTTGTAATTGAGGACGCTCCAAAGTATCAAGACTCCATTAATCTATTGGGCTTCTCTGAATAAACTAGAACTACGCCCCTCATTTGTATGCCTCTCTAAACAAGTCAAGTTTCTCTTACAGTTTACATCCATGTCTGTGAAAACATGGATGCTTCACACACACTTCTTTGCCCCGGCAGCACAGAAGATCTATACAATCAGCACAGTTTCAAGATTAGTGTCACCATTCAGTATCTGACCAAACGTCTCCCCTTCTGTTCCTGAATTATGACTGAGTAATGGCCATAAAAGAGTTTCATGCAGAACATTATGACGTCACAGCGAAGTTGACCTTTGATGTTTTGGATATAAAATGTCATCACTTCATCATTTTGTCATACAAGTGCAAAATTTCTTGGGTTATGGCCAAAAACATGTCCTTTGATCTTTGACCACCAAATTCTAATCAGTTCATTGTTGAGTCCAAGTGAGCATCTGCGTTATATTTGAAAACATTCCCTCACCATGTTCTTGAGATATCCTGTTCACAAGAATGAGACAGACAAAGTCACAGTGATCTTTGACCTATGACCACCAAAAACTAATCATCGTTGAGTCCAAGTGGACTCAAATTTGTGCAAAATTTGAAGATATTCCCTCAAGGCATTCATGAGATATCATATTCATGAGAATGAGACAGATGCAAGGTCACAGTGACCATGACCTTTGACCACCAAAATCTAATCAGTTCATTGTTGAGTCCAATGAAATTCCCTCAAGGTGTTAAAAAGAATGGGACCGATGGATGGACAGACAACGCAAAAACATAATGCCTCTGGCTATGGCTATCGCCGGTACGGAGGCATAATAAAAAAAATATGACAACATAACTGATGCTGAATTAATTCCAAGAGGCACCTTGAATTTTCTTACTGGAGAATATTTGTGCTTAAAAATGCAGAAATTTAATCAACAAACGGCCATTCATATTGTTATTATTCAGCAAAAGATAACTTCTGAAAAAACTGTTTTTATATCCATCATTTTGCAATTACTGCCATCTTAAAAGATGGATTCAACTCCAGGCCAGAGTCGCATTTAAAGCCAAATTCTTCCTGCATAAAACACAAAAAGTTCTCTTTAGTCGCAGCTCTCTGAGCACAGAAAAGTGAAAGGACACATTCTTCTTCCAAGAGTACAAATGAGGGTCTATGGCCTGAAAATGCTCTGAGCAATGAAAAATGTTACACAGTTGATTTAGCATGACTTTCTGATAGGAATGCCCATTTCAACCAGCTCATATTACCTCTTTTAAATCAATACCAGAGTCACATTTAATGACGCCATCCTATTAAACATTTCCCTCAAGCTTGACACTGGCAGGCACTGTGATATAATTCCACTCATGTCCTAACAGCAGCAAGGTGTTAAATTTTCATCTGGGTGAATTTCTACAATAGGTGCAGAGTTTGTGAGGGTTATGTATTACAATGTAGCATTTGCCATCATTCTGATGGTAGTGCTTTGTAGCCATGAGGCAATGCAAGAATCGGGTCTGTAGCACTGCAGTGGATCAAACAACAGCCCTATGAGCACTGAAACACACTGTGGCCATTCATGAGGGAAAGCTTTGAGGTCCTCCTGTCAGAGTGTGATATGGTAGCCTTTAGCACAAGAAATGAATTGGTTCTATAATAAAGGTGAGGGTAGCCAATGATTTGCTGCTGTGTCCTGGCTGTTTAAAGACTGATGTCTTGTCAAAGCACAGTGCATAGTCTTGGGGCCTTTGATTTCAATGGATGGACATTTTGAGATGTGGATGACCAATTAATTAACCAATTCTAAGCACCACCCTTTCTCTTAATGCACCAATCACAGCTAAGCACACTTGGATGGCCTCAGTCATCTTTCTGCAACTACATTAACATTACAAAGCAAAAACAAGCTAGCCTGGCTCAGTCCAAGATACTAGAGATATAACATGTCAGTGAGCTTTCTTAAGAGGTGCTGGTAGGTCTCATTCTTAATGGACAGATATAAGATATGCTCATATAACTTCACAAAATGGCAAAACTCACAAACAAAAGGAGTATCAGATGTATTCATAATAAATGCGACACAACAATGTAAATAACCAACTCCAATTAACCAGTCAATGAAAATGTGTGTGTGTGTATGCATGTGTGTGTGTGTGTGTGTGTGTGTGTGCGCGCGCGCGCAATTGCTGCAGCAAGCAAACGCGCTGTCAGACGTCATTCTGACTTGACCAGCAGACTTTACTACAGGCCGATTGGCTATTGTAACAGGTGACGTGCTTAACATTCTAAAACCAGCCGCCAGCAATTTCACCAGCTGAGTTGCAAGTGACACCATCAGCCGGCTTGAGTCGAGCTTCTACCAACCAGTCAACACCACTTCAACTTTTCTCTGCAACATTCTACAACAGTTTTGTCTCATTACGAATCATAATCATTGGTCTGAGCTGGGCTTCAAAGACACATCCTCACTGTTGTAATAGAGACGAAAATCCCTGTCGTGCTGGACTATCGGGGCAAACTAAGCCAAGCCAGCCCATTACTGCCGAAAAGGGATATTGTAGACGTTTTATAATTTAAAATGCAGGTCTTTCACAAGTCTGCGTAAGATTATTCCCTTAACAACTCTTGCAACAGAGCTGCAGGAAAAAACTCAGCACAGAGAGCATCCTTAACCTGTTGAATTACTCCAGACATAGATGAGCAGAAAAAAATTTACCCTGTCCTTCATCCTCCAGCTCTGCGCTAAAGCCTTGGAGCCCTCAATCTTCTCTGAGTGCCGTTTCTTCATGAAGGCCAGGGGAAGTTTCCAGTCATTCATGTCGGCCTCCTCTTCCTCAGCGAGGCCCACGGCTGGCGAATGAAGCAAGTCTGAGTCCATTTTCATCAGGGCCCTACAGGGGAGAGCTCATGTCAGTAACATAGATGTGATGAATTTCTGTGGCTTCATGCTGTGCATCTGTGGCCAGAAACTAACCAACGCCATGATCCTTTGAGCTGCAGCTGAAATAAAAATGGCTAATAATGAAGTCACCTACTACTTGACGACTTGATGTTACCTGAAAGGATGTGTAGGCTAAATCCAAACCATCAGGCAGGAGGAAGACATTGCCTAAAACTAGCAGACCCAGAGAGTGTGTGTAGCCACGCTATAGGGACTAAACAAGCATGACAAAAAAAACATAAAGTGGCCGTGGATCAAAAATAATCAAGAGTTATAGCAAATAGAGTTCGGTATCACACTGCAATACTTTTTTCCCCAAAATCAATAGTGACAGACAGTACAGGCATGACCTAACTTTCATCTGAAGGGCTTTTGTGCAGTTGTGATGTTTCCAGCATATGCAACTCTTTGTTCAGGTAAAATAAGTTTTGATATCTCGTGCAGATATTTGTTCCTCTACTCATGTAATCCCAGTGACGCCTTTACTCCATGGCTGCAAGAACAAGAAATACCACTGGGCGAGCAGGTTTTGAATTCAGTACATTTTTGAAATTTGAGAATCTGAAAAACCTCAATGGCTGCTAGGTTTTCCAGTTTAGTTTACCTTAAACCTAAAGAGCTCCCTCAGTTCATGTGTGGTTATGAGTCAATAAAAATCTGAAACCAAACACACTTGCATGTGGAGCTGCCTCACTGTAGTGTAGTATCAAGCTTACTATCACACTGATACGATAAGATACACCTAGATTAAACCCCAGCTGAAATGGAGTTGTTACAGCATGCATGACATTAGTGTGATACAGCAGCAGAGTCATTGGGGTATGTACAACCCTGATTCCAAAAAACTGAGACACTGTGTCAAATACAAATGCAACCAGAATGCAATGGTTTGCAAATCTTTTTCAAACTATATTTAACTGAATAAAGTACAAAGACAAGATATTTAATGTTCAAACTATTTTTTTTTGTAAATATACACTCATTCTGAATTTGATGCCTGCAGCACATTCAAAAAATTGAACAGGAGTAAGAAAAAGACTGGGGAAGTTGTGGAATGCTCAAAAAACAGCTGTTTGAAACATTCCACAGGTAAACAGGTTCTTTGTAACATTAAAATATCACCCTTGGGTAAGAAAGGGGAATCTTTGAAAGGCTCAGTCACTCACAATGAAGGATGGGGCAAGTTTCAGCACTTTGTGGAAAACTGTGTGGGCAAACAGTTCAACAGTTTATAAACAACATTTGTCAACACACAACTGCAAGGAATTTTCAGGATTGCACCATCTACAATCCATAATATCATCAAAAGATTCAGAGAATCCAGAGAAATATCTGCACTGAAGACGCGAGCCTGAAAAACAATTCTGAATGCATGACCTTTGACCCCTCAGGCAGCACTACTTTAAAAACTGATGTGATTGAACAAAGGGAATTACTACATAGGCTCAGGAACCCTTTGGAAAACCACTGTCAGTAAACACAGATCGTCGCTGCCTCTACAAATGCAAGTTAAGACTCCACCATGTAAAGTGAAAGCAATATATCAAAAACATCCAGAAACACTGCAGACTTCACTGGGCCTGAGCTCATCTGAGATGAACTGACTCAAAGTGGAAAAGTATGCTGTGGTCTGATGAGTCCATCATGGACGTCGTGTCCTCTGGACTAAAGAAGAAAAGGACCATCTATTGTTACCAGCTCAAAGTTCAAAGCCAGCATCTCTGATGGTATGGGGGTGTGTTAGTGCCCATGGCATCATGGGTAACTTGCACATCTGTGAAGGCACCATGAATGCTGAAAGGTACATACAGGTTTTGGAGCAACATATGTTGCCATCCAGGCGACATCTTTGTCAGGGATGTCCCTGCTTATTCCAGCAAAACAATGAGACACATTCTGCATGTGTCACAACAGCGTGGCTTTGTAGTAAAATAGTGCAGGTACAAGACTGACCTGTCTGCAGTCCAGACCTGTCTCCAAAAATGTGTGGAACATTATGAAGCACAATACAACAACAGAGACCCAGCACTGTTGAGCAACTTAAGACGTATATCAAGGAAGAATAGGAAAGACTTTCACTGTCAAAACTTCAGCAATTAGTGTTCTCAGTTCCCAAACACTTAATAAGTGGTGTTAAAAAAAGGTGATGTCACACAGTGGTAAACATGCACCTGTGAAGACTATTTTGGAAGATGCTGCAGACACCCAATTCAGAACAAAAAAAAAGTTTATCAGTTTGAATAGTAAATATCTTGTCTTTGTGCTTTACTGAGTTGAATTTAGTAAATAAAATAAAAAGATTTGTAAATCACTGCATTCTGTTTTCATGTATGTTTTACACACCAGACATATGCATATGATTAAGTAAAGGTACTGTGTGTGGTCTCTAATATAACAGAATATAGCGCCAGAGTCACATATTTACATAATATTGTATAATATGGTACACTATAATACAGTATGGGATATGAGACATAAGGTGTAGTAATACAGTATAACACAATGTCTACTATAGCACAGCATTAAAACCTGGTCACAGAGAGCAGCACCTGGATGATGTCATGATGGGGATCAAACTGGCCACGTGAGCCCTGCTCGAGCCACAGATGAGGAGCTCGTGGGGTTATGTGTTGTGTGTGCCTGAAATCACGTTAGAACGGCCTGACTGTGTTTAACTTCACAGCCGGAGCTCTCTGCTAGTGAGCAGCCGGTAGGACAGCTAGCTTAGTGCTAGCTAAACTAGCGCGGCTAATTTGACAGCTCTCCCTATGTGTACCGCAGTCAGCTGTCAAACTGCAGGACAGACTAGTGCTATTTAAAGCTTTTTTTCCACGTTGCTTGCGAAACAACATAAGCAGAGAGGTCAGTGAGACACAGCAGATGTGCAGAAATGGCGCTAGCGGTAGGAGAGAAGCGTGCAGATGCGTGCAGGACCTTGGTGCGGTGGGATGATCAACCCGGGCTGGGGAACGTCTTCGTCTCCGGACGATGACAGACACGGTCGCACAAACAATCCTGGTCAGAAAGTTGTAGGGCAGCGTCCACAGCCTGTAGAGTATGTCAAACCCGTCAAATCCGAGCTGGACGGGTGCGTGTTTGCAGGGGAATCTGCGGCTCCTCTCCCCACGGCTCTTCGCTATGGGAAGGGGCTGGAGACGAGGCCCATCTTCACACGGACAGTCTGCCACAGCCACGCGACGCAACGGCCACACTTATCGATGACTGGGATCGTATGGTCTTCTTCTACAAACCAGCGACCCCGGTAGCTGACTCGGTGCGATGGTTTTCGCGGAAATCAAACACAATCCCGAGAATTTCTCCGGAGAGGCACTTCTTCAGCACTTCTGCAAGGGCGCAGCCATCTTGGGTTGGACCCAGAATGCACTGTTGGGGCGGCGAGGCTGTCATGAAACGTCACCGCTGTTGTTTCTGTCACACACCAAAATACAAACACACACTAGACTAACTCTGCTGCGAATTAAAACATATCATACACCAGCAAACAGTACTATGTCACTCTCCGCTAATATGGATGTAAATTGTTTTGTTTTTTTAAAAAATTAACATGAGTTACCCACTCATCTATTTATTTTATTGCATTTTTTTAGTAAAAATATGAAAATAAGTGAAGTAAATACAAATATTTAAAAAAAAAAAAAAAAAACGTTACTACTGTTTTCATTAACAAATGATGCACTCAGTGGCTTTAGCAAGTTATGATGGGCCCCAGTTAATTCATTCATTGTCCATAGCCGCTTATCCTGTTAGGGGTTGTGGGGGGCTGGATCCTATCTCAGCTGTCATTGGGCAAGAGGTAGGGTACACCCTGGACAGGTCACCACACTATCACAGGGGTGACACATAGAGCCAGACAGACATTCACACCTACAGCCAATTGAGGCCTAGTCCATACGGACCTGTGTACTTCTGAAAACAAAGTTTTTCGGTCTCCGGTTTCCAAAAAACATTCGTCCACATGAGTGGTGTGATAAAAAAATATGATATCCACACGAAACCGCAAAACCCGCTACCAAGTGATGTAATAGATATGCCAAAGCAGTAGGTGGCGATGTAACTTCTAATGGAAAGGCCATTTTAACCAGTCAGAAGTCAGAGTCAATACCGGAATAGAGACAGAGTGCAACGCATCATAATCTGAAAGCCACGCCCCCAAAGGGGAAATGAGGCCCTTCCGCTTATTCGCTCATTCGCTGTCATTCTGCCTCTGCAGTCGCGCCTTCAAGTCTCCATGACTGAATTGCTAGCTAGCTAGCTAAAATTATTAGCTAAAGCTAGCTAATAATTAGCTAATAATAAGATGGCAAAGGATTATTTTAACACGCTATGCCTACCAGAGAGACAACAGTATATTGATAAGCTTAATATTGCCAGTCTACTTCAGTGTCCCTTCTCCTTACCTTGCTCGTCTTGGAAAAAACATGATGTGGGCCTCATTTCCCCTTTGGGGGCGTGGCTTTCAGATTATGACACGTTGCACTCTGTCTCTATAGGGAAGTGCAGAAAATAAAAACAACCCGATCTACAAAAATAGCGCGACCTAATTCAACAGCAGAAGTGCCTGAACGACCAACTACACTAACACGAAAGCAGCGATGGGCCTGCCAACGGAGGTCTGACCCGGCCGGATCCAGAACCTCTGTTGGAGGGTCGAGCAGCTGGATATGCCATCCAAAGAGAGCAGAGAGCAGAACAGCACGCTCACAAATAAAATTAGCACCAGCATGTTTGTTTGGTCTGCCATAGCTATTTACCGTCGCTCTGATGTCAAACAATGGTGACAGGTAATAAAATACTGCGGTTATCTTATCTACACGCAACCACTAGCACCAGAGTCTTCCAAAAACTTCACCCTGGACTCCGGTTTCAAAGAAACGCGGTTTCAGGGGGCCAGAAGTGCGGTTGCATGTGGCCAAACAGCCAAATCGCATAGAATAATACACAGTTTCAGAAGTACATGGGTCCGTGTGGACTAGGCCTTAGAGTCACCAATGAATCTACATGTCTTTGGACTGTGGGAGGAAGCCAGAGTACCCGGAGAAAACCCACGCTGACATGGGGAGAACATGCAAACTCTACACAGAAGGGCTCCCCCATCCCAGGTTTCAGCCCTCCACCCTGGGGTTTGATCCAGGAATCCTGTGAGGCAACAATGCTAACCACTGCAGCACCGTGCCGCCCACAGGCCCCAGCGCGCATCACTGTGACGGGCCCTAGTGCACGCTATCATGCATGTACGAATTTGATACAAATAGAGACTTGACATTGGACAACATCAACATACATATTACCCAGCAATCATTATTGCATATCTGACAAAAATATCAAAGTGAGTAAGAAATTAATCATTTAATTGAATCATTTTTATACTATATTTTGAGATTCTATAGCATATATAGAAAAGAATATCATTTTTGTTTTAGATAGCTACTGTTTAAAAAAAAAACATACAGCTGGGTTTGCCTTTTTGAGGACATACATAGAACAAATGGCATAGTTTTTAAATTATTATATTCTTTTTTACTATTAATCTTTGAACACAGGTATATTTCCAAGGTGGCAATCTGAATCACTTGCAATGGCCCACTCTCACTACGGTGCTGCCACCCCAGGGGCCCCAGTGCAATCGCACAGCATGTACATGTACTGTCTATACTTACGTCCCTGACTGCTTATCAAAAAGCCCATGGGATTTTTTTCGTTGCATTTTGAATAATTTCCAAAAATGAGCTCTGTGGCAAACAAACGTTTATGATACTTTCCTGTTTTGTGAAGCATGATAATCTTCATGAATGAACACGTCTTTCATGATTTTTTGAAGCCTAAATGTAATCACCAGATGTAAAAAGCTAATGTTAGGTTATAAACGAACGACACTACAGACACGTGACCTAACATCACCACCATAACAAGACTGTACAGCTATGTTTGGCGTGATGACGGCCAGCTGTTAGCAACCGCCTTTTATAAGACACATAGAAGCTTCAGAGTTCACAAGTGGGGTTTTTACTGGTGTATTTAATGTTGTAGGACAAAATGTGAAAGTCTCTTTAGCTTGTGTTAACCACAGACCTTATTACAGGCATGGCGCATGTCAAGTGACATGAAGGTTCCCTAGCAGAAGATTGCATTGTAATGAGATGATCAGTCTTATTCACTTTTAATGTTTTGGCTGATCGGTGTCTATATTTATTTTGTCAAAAATAAGGAAGTAAAACACATCTGAGGAATGTTTCATAAGGCTGCATGAGCGACTGGCTGGCAAACGCCAGTAAATAGTCTGCGCCAGGATGTTTCACAAGCCAGCAAAAACATTCACAGCAGCGTCAGCAGTTGGTGCAAGTTGTGAGCTGTAATTCAGCAGTAAATAATCAGCCGTGTGTCTGACTGTGGATGGTGGAGCTGTTGAGTGGATTTGTGGAGTTTGTTATTTGCAGTGGTGGCTGTTAGCAGTTAGCTCTGCTTGTTAGTTGCTTAACGGCAGCGGAGCAAGCAGACATCGGCCTTTGGTCTTCACAGCTGATCCCCACAGGACTCCACTCATTGACTGTTTATAGAAGGTTTATGGGTTGATGCTATTTGACAGGCAGGAAGGAGGCTCAGTTATCTGTGAGTGTAACTGTGCTGTAAGTGTGTGCTTGTAAATCACCACTTAAACCTGTCAAACACTGGAGAAATCAGTTTGTAAGTGTGTAACAAATATTTGTAGTTGTAGAAAAAACTGTCTAAATTAAATTTTTATATAATCTGTCACCTTGATTCTAATTTCTGATATATGAATTAGCCTCACTGGATTAGATTAAAGATAAAAAAAAAAAACATATAGAAAACATAATGACTAAAAGTTGACTAAAATGTCATGAATTTTTGCTGACTAAAACTATGAAGGATAAAAATGACTAAAATGTGACTAAAACTAATAAGCATTTTTATCTCAAGACTAAGACTACATCTAAAATAGCTGTCAAAATTAACACTGTTAGCAAACAATTGCCAATTAATATGTCCATAAAATACGGCGCAATATTACGCTAGCATTCATTTGGAGTCTTGCCTTTGGCTTCCTGGTAAATGTAAGTCATATGTTTCACTTTGTTTGTCCGCCGTTTGGTTCTGGGCAGGTAGTGTATAGTTGGTTTTAGCCATGATAGCCACATGGCTCTAGAAATAGCAGTCTCTGTCTTTCAGTCAGTCTATCAGCTCTCATGGGAGCGATCAAAGTAAACCAAAACAGCAAAGTTGCAGAGCAGACAGCTAAACAGGTCCGTGAAGTCGCTGGGAGCTGCAGATACAGGTCCTATTTCTCTGTGGGTTCATCACTGCAAGTGACACTTACCATTTTGTCACATTGTTTTCACATTGTCATCATAAAATATTGATTCTAGCCATTTGAAGGACAAGAGTATCTTAAAAACAAAACAAATACATAAATGGAAGATGGACTCTTTGAACAGTATGATTTCACATCTTATTTGTTCTTCTCCAACAATATGGTGGTGTTTGCTTTTCTCAGCACCTGCATGAGTCAAGTGTATTTACAGATGATTTGTCCTCAACATCCTTTGCTGTCAAGCCTCACACTCATTTCTCAAACAGCAGGAGCTAAAGGTTTGTTTTTGAAAGAAAAGTCACACAGAAAAAAAGCTGTTCCATCTGTCCCCAAGTCAAAATCTAACACCAGTCTGCGTGTACACACTCAGGCGGTCGCTCATGACATTACTGAGAGACGTTTAATTGGGAGGGTACAATCAACATGTTTACCTGTTTGTTCTTGGTCAACAAAGAAATTTGTTCAGGGGCCTTTATGACTTCAATCAAGCACAACACAGCGTGCCTTGAGCACAGAGGATAATGCTGCGCTGAGATGATTAACAGCTTTCTTTGGTCTGTCAGCTCATCAGAAAACATGAAAATGGTACACCAGATGGATGGAGCATGAAAATATCCCTCTCAGTGCATTCACCAGCACAGCAATCATCGCTGGGGCGTCTTGGTGTGCCGCACTAAGAGCGCAGGAGCAATTTGGTGTGTAAGAAACTCATAGGTACATCCGGCCGAATTTGTTCCTCTCGCCTTCCAGCCCAGTGTCCACAGCAGGGGGGTAACCAATCCAATCTCCTAGGTGTGATGGAGGTTGGGACCCTGGGATTGCTGATAGCTAACAAAGGGAGGATGAGAAAGAGAAGATTAGTCTACTTTTTCTCCATATCTGCCCTTCTGTCATGAAGGAAACAGGGTGACATGATCATCTGGATCCTGGAAGCTGGGGCTGCTCCCAGAGTTAAATCAGATTGGAGCAGGAAAAGGCTCAAAATCCTGTTTCCCTGGATTGATTGCAACAAAG